GCACGTTTATGAACTGTTTAAATACTTAAAATTGTAGAGTCATTAGGTTTCTTGAAGCACGAGACGTAAAAAATGAAAAATGCCCTTACCGGAACTCGAATCCTGGACCTCTAGAATGCGCGTCAATTATGCTTCTAATTACATCACAAAGACATGCAGAAAGGAGGGAGAAAATACCTTGTATAATCCCCCTGTTAAAGGGCGACTGAAGGTTAGTCGCTCTTTAACAAGGGACTGAGGATTAGTCGCCCTTTAACCCAGTCACCAAATCCTGGTGGTGATGAATTATCGTCCACCACTTTTTATTTAAAGCGTCACTGTAGAGTCATTAGGTTTTTTTTAGCTTTACTCATCTCGAGATTTCTGAGAAATTTACCGATTTGGACATCATCTTCTTCAGGAAGTTTATCAAAGTTTATCATATTTTGTGATGGATTTGTTTCAGAAAGTGATTGGTAGATGACTTCTTTTATCATTAATGTTGTAGGCTAGTTTTCCTTGATAATTCATTTGCACTTATATCAATATCATATGTGCTATTACGGAGCCTTAACTTTCATCTCTCAGCAATAGTATTCTTTCAGCACTTTCATAAAGTTCCTTGTATAACATGGTTGAATTATGTCCGGAGTATTTGCTAGTAAATGTGCACAGTCTAATTATGGTTAACAAAAACATCTACGTTATATGAAACAATTTTGTCAGAATTTTGTTTTTTATTCATTGGCCTCTTATTTTTACTTCCTTATACAAAGCAAAAGCAGTATTGTAATCGCGAGAAACATTTTGGGTATAATATTTCAACGAAAATGTCCATTCTGACTGCTATCGAATGCAATTTAAGGATGTGTTTGCTTGATTCTGTACCTAAGGACAGGGACTCTTTTTCCCAAAACGGATTGCAAAATGGATTTTAATAGAATTCAGAAGAGATATTTTGTGACGTTTGTACGTACGTATGTATGTATGTATCTCTAACTCAGAAACGAGTAGCCTAAAATTTGCAAATACCACTGCTGTAAAATGTAGTTGTGCTCCTCCCTTTTTGGTTGCAATCGGCCACACCAAAAATATATATATATATATATATATGCATATACCCATTCTGTTACTCAGCTCAGTGAACTCAATTAAACTTCCATTCTTTTCTTTAAAAAGGATTGAATTAAGTGCGGCTAAGCCTAACTTAGCAGCTATATTTGTTTAAATTTGAAACGTAGCAGAATAATGAATTAAGTCAATTTCAGCATATTTTTGCTGAGTTTGACCAAAAGCGTATTTTCAGTTTTGTGCACTGAAAAATCTGCCTTTTTGGCCGCCGGCCGAATTGCTTGTTTTTGGGTAGAAACAGGTAATTTTAATTGTAAATTTTTTTAAATTGTTTTAACTGTATTTGGTGTTTTACGTTTTCTTCAATTTTGAATGAAAATATTTTGAGTTTTATGTATTTTTGCCTTGGCGCGAAGTGATAACTGTATTAATTCAATAATAAATATATCACTAATGAAATTCCAGGAAATAAATTTAAATGGAATGCAGTAAAAATGCGTATAATTTAGTAGGGTATCTAAAGAAGTCATGTGGTGTCCACGTTAGATATTTTACTATATATATTAATAGAGCGTAAAAGGGCTACACGATCGCCGATTTTTACATCCTTTTTGAGTTTTCGTTTTTAAATAAATATGCGTGTTGGAGCGATTATTGATACTATATACCTGCTTCGTCTGCCTTATAAATGTTTTCAGCACAGTAACTCAATATAGTAATTTGTAGAAAATTTAGACTCTTTATTTTGACAACCATGTTCCTGCTGTACATAAATCATACTGCAGTACATAGTTTGCAAGCAATATTTTCTCATTTTTTTCTTACTGACTGAACTCTCTTGCTATAAAAACCATTTTCTACAATTTTTACGGTTACCGCTACAGACATTTATAGCATTAATGGACCGCTCATTGCCGTGTCTGTTTTACGAAAATTCGTAAATCAAATTTTTTATGCTTTCTCCCGATCATTCCGATCCTTCCTTCTACGTATCCGTTTCGTGCTTTCACCTTCACTTGTTTGCAGATGTCTTCATGATCCTTGCATAAGAAAGGCTGAGAAATATTTTACGCACAAGCAGAATTGCGTTGACTCATTTTTGGGACTCATAACAGTATGATAATAAGCTGGTATGATAAACTTTTATCCCTTTGTTATTAAAATAATCTTATTATTAGTTCACAGTTCATTTACTCATTGAGGAATAAATTGGCAGTATATCAGTAGTGTATATCTTACTTTTCAAATTATGGATTGAGTGATTTTTCGAGGTAAGCACAGAGCATTACAAATTACATTGTTTAAGAAATCCATATACGAGGATAAGTTTCGTGTTTATAAAATCGGCATTAAAAATCAAATAAAGGTAATAAATCTGTATTTAGGTAATTATGAATCAGAATTTTTATGCTTCAGGTCAAATTTCGTGAGTTTGTCGAGGAGGAAAATAATATGGAACAAAGAAAAAAGCTAGTCTTATCAAATATAACGTGGGACTGCGGGTTTATTCCAACGAAGCATCGTATGTAATGGTACTATAAAATCGGGGAAAAAAAAAAAAAAAAGATTTAAAAATAAAATCTGAAAGGTTTCAGATTTTAAATTACGTCCAAAGTGGCGTTTTTTTACCATTTTGTGTGTTACATTTATTTATTAAATATCACGTTCTTCGCACTTAAACCATAAAATTCAGTTCAACAGCAATAGCGCAAAATAGTTTTAAAATGAGCATATCTTTAGAATTTCCAATACACAGACTCGCGCGCTGGAGATAAAGATGTTTTGCTGTACAACGTTGTCATTGCTCGCATTGAAATCCTTGAGTTTGTTAATCAAAAGTTCATTAAAGTTTTACAAAATATGAAATCGATAATAAACCAAATTCCAAATTTCAAATTTGGTCTTCGAGTAGCGCATATTCGCAGTAGGATTACGTTATTAAAAACTGGATGGCTCTAGGTACTGTTGTTTTATCACAAAGCGAAAAACATACATACGTTTATGCAGATTTTTTATTACTTAATTTCTTCAAATATAATACAGGACTCTGACATTTGGTGGCAACAGTTTGAAAAGTAAAACTGACATTTATAGTGAACCAACGCAAAATCGAAAACGAAAACAACAGACCTTTAGAGACAAAGCCCCTTTGGAATAATAATTTTCTTAAATACATTATCCTGTACTGTGATATTTCTGTACAATCGAAGTTAAATGCAATTCCTCTGTTAAAGAATGGAACTTAACCATCTTTGTTTTTCGTTTGAATATTTTAGTAATAGTGACACTATTTGCGTTTATGCTATTTTTTACTCTACCAAACATATTTCTGGAAATAAATAATATAGAATCAAATAATACAGATTTCTGGAGCAGCTAAGTTACATTAAAAAAACATTTGAAAGCATTCAGATTTTATATTATGCCCAAAGGTTTTTTTTTTAGGGTTTTGTGTGTTTCTTTTATTTATTATTAAATATCATATTCTTCGCACTTAAACCATATAAAATTCAGTTTAACAACAATATCATAAAATATTTAAAAACAATATGTCTTTCGAATTTCTGATAGACAGTCTCGCGCGCTGAAGATAAAAATGTTCTTTTTTTCGTACAGTATTGCCACTACTCGCTTTGAAATCATTGAGTTTGATAATGAAAAATTCATTAAAGTCCTATAAAATATAAAATAGGTAATAAAACAAATTCCAAATTAGGGCTTCCGGATGCCCATATTCGCAGGAGGATTACGTTACTCACAATTTGATAGCTTTAGGTTGTTTTAAGCGAGAAACATAGATACATTTACGTAGATTCTTGATTATTTAATTTCTTTAAATGTAATGCAGGGCGATACTATTTGGTGGCAATAATTTGAAAATTGAAACAACGCTTGCAGTGAATCAACGCAAAATGCCAAAACGAAATTAATAGTCCTTCTTGAAAAATTGCCCGTTTGGACTAATAAAATTTCAAACACAATTAGTGTGTAACATATTTGCATGAAAAAATATCTTGTTTAAATGTAATTTCGTAAAGTACCATAAAGGATGGTAAAATGCGACCTAATGGAATTAAAATTTCATTTTGCAGGTTTTTAACATGTTCTAAATAAATAAATAAAATTTTGAAACATTTGTTATGGCTGACAGTAATGGTTACACGGTAAACAAATGCGTACGTTCTAGGTTTGTACGAAAGCAGTTTATATCGCTTTTGTGGTAAATCATTCTGTAATAAATAAAAAAATTACGTTTATCATATCTTAGAGAGACATGCATGCTTAATTGCAAAATTTATTGTATTGTACAATTTAACAGTAATTGTAACACAGTATCCTCCTTTTCTTCTACGAATCAGGTTAAATCTCAGATTTGACTTAAGATGTGAAAATGCAAATCCCTTTGTACTTGTGACAAAAATTACAACATGATGCGCTGAATAATTAAAAAGCTTATTGAATACTAATTCTGCTATTCCTTCCACAATAAGAGCCGACATATCTGTCAAGTTTATTAGTTATGATGTAGATGTCACAATAAATTCGTTCGTATAACAAGATGAACGTGACCTGGCGAGGCGCAGAACTCTCTCTACAACTATGTTTCGTATATTCTAATTACTTTCTTACCTACATTATTCTAGCAGAACATGTAAATCTTTAGCAGCATTTAAATATCAGCGGTGAATAAATAAAAAATGAATTTGATAGGGTATAATTCCTTTGGCATTACCATTCTTTCCCCTTGCATACTTAATGAAAATCATTTATAAAAGTTCTTCCATAAAACCGTCATTTTCAGGCATCGATAAATTCTACTTCATCGAGGTCATATGTACTCCTGGAATTAACGACGTGACCTTTGACCGGTGTCGCTTCCTGTAGTGTTAAATTAATCAAAGATTAGGCTATTTTTTAACAGCTCACTGCGAAAGATCAGCAAAATTCACTGCATATAAATACAAAGCACTGTCCTGGGAATTTCACTTTGCTCCAGCGCAACCTAGTGGAAAGCTGTTCTCTAACAACAGTCCTCTCTGTCTTTTCTACATACATCATGAAGGTAAGTTCAGTTTAAAATTTTTCGTTAAGTGTTTTGTGCTTAGTTATTAGCATAAATAATAATGCCTACATATTAGCGTATATAAGAGAATATTCTATCCGACTTATTTGTACAGAAATTGTGTTTGAAACATTGCCGCATCCTTAATGATATAAGCAGGGCCGGATTTAGACTTGATAAGGCCATAAGCTATTTGATATATCGGGCCCTTTATAAGTCCAGATATTGTATGTCAGTACCAAGTATGATTTTCGGATACCTAGAGGGTTTTTTGGGGGGGGATCCAAGAAAGTTGGGGCCCTAAGCTATAGCTTGTAGCTTATACGTAAATCCTGCATTGGATGTAAGTCTGATTCAATACTGGAAGTGTCAGGAATTTGTACAAATATTTCTTCGTAAATAACGTTTGGTTACTATTCAGCAGTTTTGCTTCTGCCTAGGTTTACATGGCCCATGATTGGGAATTCGGGTTGTAGGAGGCCACAGCATTAGATTTCCGTTCTAAAGTTGAGGGAAATAAGCATTGAAGGCACTTGAAAGTACTGTAAGCACCCAGGCTAGCTTAGTCGGACTGTACTTGCATACCGTGTTCTACTTGCATTATACTTAGAATGAGTAAGGAACTTAAGGCCATCAATCAACAACGTGATCAAAAATCCCCACGTAAATTTAGCCTCCGTTAAAACTTGATGATTACTAATAACTTGATGCTATGCAATTGGGGCTTAGGGTCATCAGTCACCAGCGTGATCGAAAATCCGTATATAATTTTAGTTTTCGTTAAAATTTGATTATTACTAATAATTTGCTGCTAAGCAGTTAGGGCTTAGGGACATCAATCACCAGCGTGATCGAAAATCGGCATTTAAATTTAGTCTTCGTTAAAATTTGATTATTACTAATAATTTGCTGTTAAGCAGTTAGGGCTTAGGTACATCAGTCGCATATAAATTTAGTCTTCGTTAAAATTTGATGGTTAATATTATCTGCTCAAAAATTAAGGATTAGGGGCATAATCACCAGCGTGATCGAAATCGAAATATAAATTTAGTTTTCGTTAAAATTTGATGATTACTAATAATTTTCTTCTAAGCAATTACAGCTTAGGCACGTCAGTCACCAGAGTGATCGAAAATCTGGTCTTCGTTAAAGTCTTGTGATTATTAGTAATTTTCTGCTAAGACAAAGCAAAAAAAAAATTATGCCTTCTCTAATGACATAATCATTTTTGTACTGGAAATTTTTTCTCCTGATAACGCAAAGCTTAATTAATGTTTTTGGAGCTTTCTAACACATATTATACAAATAACGTGTACAATATGAGTAAAAATATTTTTACACATATTTTGCATATTTTATATATTATGCAAATTAAATTAGACAATAAAAACTGTTCTTACGATAAATTAAATTAGACAATAACAACTGTTATTAGGACAATATTTAGGCACTGATAAAACTTTCACATTTCTGTTCGATATCTAAATTTAGATCCTCTGTTTGTAAATTGAGTTATCTTTTATCAACACCTACGTCGATATTTCTTTTAACTACTGCAAAACACAACAGAAATTATGCCGTTACTAACATCATAATATAAACAGAAACATACTGAAAATTTTTTTTAATAAAAAATCGAAAGGCTTTGAATAGACATGATTAAATAGTAAAATAAATTGATATCTATTCTAAATTAAAATCAAATTTATTTCATTAAGTATATGATAAAAAGTTTAGTTTTTCTCCTAAATAATATAAAAATTTATATAAATAAGAAATAATGTCTTAACTATATTATAAAATTAAATGGAATTGATTATACTCCGCTTTATAGCAAACAATATGAGCAAATTTAGCAAAATTTTCGATAGAAGTAGACTATAACAAGCAGATATTGTGTAATCATGACATGACGAACGTTTTATTGACTTTGATAATTCTACCCTACAAAGATGATCTTCAAGATTTAAGAACTATAACAAATTTCAAAACTGTTCCAGATATATTTATTAATAGATATGGGGTTATCCATAAGATAACATTTTAGTGTGATACCTGCTTTTGAATTTTCATTCTTATTGGATTAATTTGTCAGATAAAAAATCTTGGAAGAACAAAAATCTAACTAGTATCATCATAATTTCTGTTCTCAAGTTAATAAAAGCGTGTACCAACATCATTTTGCATGATATGATAACTTACAGAACGCATAAATATGTCTGGCCTAAAAGGACTGACATGATTATGAAATCTAGTTCATAAACATTATGCATAACGAATCAGCTGTGGTTCCAAACAGTAATGATTTGATGGAATATTAGAGAGTCGGAATACGCACATTTCCTGTTCTGTGGACAAGTAGACGTATCAGATACTATCGTGCACTATGTACTGCCGAGTAAATTTGATCGAAAATGACTTAAAGTTTTCTGGAATTGGTAAGTATTCGATATCTATTTTCTTATTTGTTGTGTGAAAGTACATGAGATTACGGAATAATCACCTAAGATGTATTATTTTTTAAACTTAAAATAAAAAGGCGTATTTGAGTTCAGATAAAATAGTGGTGAATTGTTTGTGATAATGGAAGAATTTCTCACAATTTTTCTTTCAGAAATAAAATATGGTACAGTTTTATTCCAAAAATATTTGATGTTATTCTTCGATGAACATTGAGGTTTCACTGATAAATATTTTGCGTCTGAAAGTTAGAATAACGCCTCAAATTTGGTTTTGTGTTAAAAAAAATCCTACTAATTAATTTGTATTCTCTTCGATAGTAAATTCTTAATTAATTGGTTAAAATTGATATTCTCATTGATAGTAAATTCTTTACTATTTTAATAGAATAGTACTTAATATTTGTTGCATTTTCTATCATACGCAGGTTAATAGGATTGATCTGTTTCTTATCGTATTCACCAAAGTAAATTCCTTGACAATAGAACATAACATATGTTTATTATTCTGCATATACAAAGGTGTATTCAAGTTTAATACACGGAATTATTATAAGTTCTTTGTAACACACTAAACTATCTCTGCTCACCAGAAAGAACTTCATACGAAGGTGGCTTCGATCGGTATAGTGATTATAGAAGCTGGCTAGTCCTCCGACTCAAGTCCCGCGTCAAAGATGGGCATTTGTGATGCGATGTTGCGTAGATCGAATGCCCTTAAATTCTTTGATCCAAAAACCTTTTAAGGAGTTAGTGGTGGTTAGGTAGGGATGTGAGAAAAGGAATCTTCTGCATCAAAATTACAATAGAGCTGGACAAAATTACATTGTCACCCTTAGTGCTTAAGGCTTTCGGTCAGCAGAAAATAAATTCCCTGATCAACTCATAATTATTTGTGAGACCGTCCATAACCTGGACACGGACTGCTAGAAACGAAAATAATATAAAGTAATTGTGCATGAAGCAATAGTTAATTTATTTTATCTTGCTATGCTTAAATTTATATTCTGTGCTCTGTCATCTAACACAATAACTCCATAATGTAATGAAAAGTGTAATGATCAGTTTTTCAAAGAGATGCAAGGTTTTTATAAAATGGGTACATTTAGAAAAAACATTTAAGCATATGGATTTAAAATACATAAATGCATATCATGACTGAGAACTGAAATTACTAATATAACACAAAATATGGTTTTCTTAATAAGCTATTTAATTTATTAAGATTAACCTTCTTAAATTAACTTTTTAACTTCTTAATTAGCTTTTTAACTTAGGCTTTTTAATTTTGTTTTTTTCAGTTCTTGATTGTCGCAGCAGCCATCCTGGCAATTGTTTCTGCTCAAGCCGTAAGTATCTAACATCTTTTCTTTGTCAGCTAAATTTTACTGCACACCGGATGAATCTCTGATATATATTTTATATTACAAATGAGAATTATCGATGCCTTTTTCTGTAGCAAACCAAATATTTTGCTTTATTTTAGTTTCATATATTAATAATTAATTAATAGTTAATTAATAAGTTAGAACAAAATGCTTCTATTTTTGTCCGACGGGAAGTTAGAAAAATTGCTAATAAGTTTAATTTAGTTAAGAGAAGACTTTGCTGAATAAATATTTGTTTTAATAATAAAAAAAAAATATTGGATTTATTTTGGTTTTTGCAATTCTTTGGAATTTTATTATTTATGACGGCATAAATTTTATTATTCAATAAGGATTGGTCATAGATTAATTCATGGTAATTATGTTATTATTCAGTTTATTTTATTACTGTGTTTTATTTGTTTGTATCTTAAAGACATAATCAGAAAAATTAATTAAAATTGAAGTATTTAAATGAAATTAATCGTTGCTGCATCTGTGCCAATTCAACATTTATTCTTGGAAACATAATTTTTTAAATTTTCCTGAAATATGATTTATACACATATGTCTTTCTACATCATACCAATTAATTGCACAGCACTAAAATTTAAATCGTAGATTAATTGTTAATTAACAGGAATTATTGATTGTATAACAGTATTGTGTACTAAATTTCCCTGTGAACATGTAAGTCAAGCGCCATATGCATATTTTATTTTTCAAAAAATTCCCACTAGTCGGATGAGGAAATAAAACTCGGCTAAGTGTCATGTGGCCAGCCCGGACTTCTTGTTCGCAAAGCTCAGGAGAACCCTTAAGTCAATTCGAAGAACGGGAGTTAAAGACCGAAGCGGAAGCGGAGCCATACCAATTAACTGTTACGGTAGAGATATGGTGCCCGTGTTCTCCTCCACTTGTTACTTATGTGATATTGTAATGCGTAGAGGTAAACCGACACTTTTAAATTAAAGACCAAAGCGAAAGGAGCACCATACCAATTAAACATTACGGCCGAGAGATGGTGCCCGTGTTCTAAGTCACTTTTCATTTCTATATATGTGATATTTTAAAGCGCAGAAAACCAACATTTTAAATTGAAGACCAAAGCGGGAAGAGTGCCATACCAATTAACTATTACCGCAGAGAGATGGTGCCCGTGTTCTCCGTCACTTGTCACTTATATATATATATAATATTTTAAAGCGTAGAAGTAAACCGACATTTTTAAATTCCGGTAGTCATAATGACTGAGGGTGAAGGCGTGATGATGCAGCTAACAAAACTGAGATTGAAGAATCACCATTTTTATTTTTACACATATCAAATCGTTTCTTTGGTAGACATGTTACGTAGTTAAATTCAATACTTTTTATGTACACATGTTACAAAAATAAGAAAAAGTAAGACATTATCTTTGGTTAATAAATATAGCTGCACAAAGAAATTTGCAAGGCATAAGTTAGGAAAGGAATGAAGTAATTGCTCGCGAAGCAGTATTTACACTACGTAGGTGCATATATATAGCTAAACCGTGATTGGTTCATTTTAGGCTTTTAGTTCCATTTTTCAAGCAGCATTATGTAATTGAGAACGATCTCGGATTTGGGACAAAGGATGACCTTAGGTGGAGAACATAAAATTTAGAATAGTCAATTTTTAGGTTACCTATCATTTCTTAGCATAGCCATCGTATTTTATTATATCTTACAGATATATATATATATAAAGAGAGAGAGAGAGAAAGAGAGCGATAGCTACATATATATATATATAGATAGATAAATACGTATGCATACACACACACACACATATATATATATATAGACGCGTATGTATGTATGTATTATAATGCTGCGTGCGTGTGGGTTCGTAATAGATTGAATGCACAGTTAGAGGTACACAATGAGGTAATTTAATTTAATGCATTATTATCGTCTAAAATTCAACTTTGAAAATATTCCTCTCTTCCATGAATAATTTATCAGCAGTTGTATTAAATACAATATGTATATTTCTGTTAACTGAAGACTGTGTATCATCTTCAATTAATTAACCAGTTAACTATGATTGACGAGTATACTCGTTATGGAGGAGCGACACGATTTTGTGTACTAACGAGCCTACTCGTCATGTGTATATTATGTTAATGAAATGGAAAGATAAAAGGGAGGTTTATTTAGTAAGTACTTTACATAATGACAATGTAATAGAAACAGAGAAAAGAAAAATAATAACAAAGAAACCGGAGCTAGTGATTGATTATAATAAAAAAATGGGTGGTGTGGATACGAGCGATGGAATTATCATAGCGTACTCTACAGCAAGAAAACGATGAAAAAGTATAACAAAAAGATATTTCTCAATTTCTGAGACATTATGTGCCTGAATGCATTCATATTATATAAAAAAATAATGGAATACTACCGCGTATCAACGTTTTGCTCAAATTTATTGAAGACACTTTTGCGACGTATCCGATTGAAAGAAATAAATCGACACAAACTCGGCCATTTAGAGCTAATATAAGCCAATTAGGCGGGAATCATGTTCCGGATTATATACCCGGAACATCGAAAAAAAAAAAAAAAAAAAAACCCTAGCGAAGGTGTTCGCATTGCTACAAACGTAAGATCAAGAAAGAATCGCGTTACTGGTGTTCGATTTGCAAAGTCCCATTGTGTATCGTACCCTGTTTCGTTGAAAATCACTCCACAGCAGGAATTTAAATTTTTACTTTTATATGTATAATATTTAATTAAATTTATTGCGTTTTTAGTTTAATATGTATGTAAGATATGCTTATGGTAACCAAATAAGAAAATATCAGTAATAAAATTTTCAATTTTATAAAATAAACCCATCTTTTTCATCCAATATCTTACCAGCGCAACTTACTTTGTGATTGACTAATATACTCGTCAAGGCTCGATTCTGGCGACAGAAAACGGTGCGCACTCTTAAACGAGAGCGCCACAGTTAACTGGCTAAAAAAAACTTTTAGCTTCTTTTCTGGATTTGGCATCAGAGGTACAAAAACTGTTTTATGATTAACATTAAATTTCTAGGCTTTTTAAACGCTTAGAAAGTCATCACATTATTTAATGGGAAGAATTAAGCTATTCTTTATGTTCAGCAAGTACCATAATATTAAAAGCACGAAGACGCTTTGAACTCATTTTGCAGCAGTATTTACAATGAATTTCTAATATAAAAACCAATAATATGGTTAAAGAAATATCTGCATTAGTCTAAAATCAATCCTTTGATCGATCAGATGATTCATGTATAGAATACAAGATTCACAGATCCATAGATTGCTTAGTACAGTTAAATTCAATGCTCTAATTGGTTAAGTGCTGTTAGGTGTGTAGAATGGTGCCAAATTAATAATATAGAACATTCAAGAAAGGCAACATTACAGGTGCGTCCATGTCAGATATATGTAAAAAGAAATAGTGCATCAAATCTTTAAAGCGAAATACCAAATGCATCATTGTAACTGAAATTCATAAAAGAAACAAATATTTACCTATAAATTGTGAGACATTTAGGTACTTCTTACTAATAAAATTAGGAAAGTGGTAGCAGAAACAGCGTTATTACGTTTCTGAATGTATTAATGAAAAACAATTAGTTTTTTTAACACATTTGAAGGTGATGCGTTGTTCTTATTAAACATATTCATGCTCTGAAAAAATTAAGCCTGTAATCTGAGCATGCTTCCAAAACTGACAGACGTAGAGAATATAGAATAACCTTAGCAAGTGTTCTAATTGTGTGAAATACAAAATTTTTAGTTTATATTCCACACATCCTAGCGCATAGCCCGATTCTGGAATTTCAGTTTCGAATTTAAGCAATCTGTTGCTAATTAACTGATAGTCTGAAGAATACTGATAACTGAAGAATTTAAATAGATAAAAGCATTTTTCATAAATTTAATATTTTATTTTAGAATTTTAATAATATATTTAATTGATGTAAATTAAATATATTTAAGTTACTATAACCCAAATGATGACTTTTTTGAACGTTTGCAGCTTTTTTGTAATTTATAAAAATTGTTTCGAATGTCATAATATGTCGTATAACTAATAAAAATCATCAATGTTTTATTTTCATGATGTTGTACATCACAGAAATATGATGTAAGGATGTTTTACATCATTTATTTATCATCAAAATTTTATCAAAATTATCATCAAAATTTCATATTGTTTTACATCATTTATTTATAATAGTAAACGTAAAATATGCTCAAATGTTTACAGGAAAATTCTTTTTCAATTCATTAGATTGCAATCTGAAGTTTTCGGATTGCAATGTTTTTTAAGTAACAAAATTATGGACCCATCTACAGATAGCCATTCTTGAATAAGATGCCATTCTTGAAATTCTAGTTATTTATTGTGAATAACTATTTTCACGTGACTATGCAATTTAAAAGTCGAGTTACTAGGAAAAAAATATGTTGCCTAACTCTAAAAATAATGTGGTCTTTTAATAAGATTTTTTACTTCTTACCCTATGACCAGATAATCAAAGAAAACAGAAAGGTAAGACAAGACACGTAAATTAAGATAAGTTTTCATAGGCACAATAATACATTTATTTATAATAATAAACGTAAGATATAAAATAATGAATTTAATGAAACATGATATTCTTTACTTGTTGTTACTTGCATATCATGAAGTTATGCGGCACATTTTCTCTATACTCGTTGCATAGGGCTTTTTGCTATCATTTTCCATTTTAGTGGTCTATTTTTAGTTATATTATCCAGTACTGCAGTTTCAATAAATTAAGAAGTATAGTAACGTGTATTATTTGTTCTTTTTACCTTAAGCCTCCTATCCAATACAACCCAGTACCATACTCTTTCAATTACTTGGCTGAAGGTGAAGAAGGCACAAGTGGTCATCAAGAAACAGGTGATGGTGCTGGCAATGTCCAAGGCTCGTACACTCTCACCGATGTTGATGGCCGTAATCGAGTCGTAGAATACACTGCAGGACCTGATGGATTTCGAGCCATCGTTCGCACTAATGAACCAGGAACAGATAACAGTAGCCCAGCCGGTGTGATTTTCGAATCCACTTCCCCTGAAGCCAAGGGTCCTATCATTAGATACAGTGCTGAACCAGTAGCTAGACCTGTGGCTCCCAGAGTCGTCCCTTCTGCTGATGGCCGACAAGGAAATGTGCGATATGTCTATGTTCCCAGCACTGATCCCAGAGCCGCTGGACGAAGCTAGAAAACTGAACTAAACTCACGAATAAAAGATTAGGAACTTACTCTGGATGTCATGAAATTCCCACAAAGCGCATTCAATAATTCAATATTCAATTCATAAACTTTATATAAATGTATAATATGATATCAGCTACTTCAATATGTATAATTTAAAGTTTAAGAATTGTAATATTTGTATCAAAAAGAAATGTAGCATGCTTTAACAATGCTGGTGGTCTCATATATGTTCGTAAATGGACTTTTAAAATACAACTGGAATTTATATGTAGTGTCTGGGATATAATATTGGCAACACTTAAACATATCGTATTTATTGCATACAAATTGACTAAAAAATTGTGCTGCATATAAATAGTACTTTCAGATATTTGTAATAAAGTTTATTATGTGCTTCAATAATTACTTTTGCAGTGACTTATTACTTATCAATATTTAAATTTTAAAATGCTTGTACAGACTTCATAAGTATAATTACACGCATCTAAAATAGTGACGTTGTAATATCCTAGATAATTTGTCCTTGAGAGCTAGAATATTGAAGTTCTTGAGGGCTGGAATATTGAAGAACTGTGTAGCGATTTATCGCAGATTTTTGCAAGCAAAGGGCAAGTCCAAGGAAGGGTACCCTTTATTCCAACACAAAACAGATGAACAGATGGCCCTTCTTGGGCTTGTAGTAAGCCTCGGCTTGGGCTTTTAACTCAAGATAGAAAATAAGAAACTGGTCTAGTACTAATACATTTGTGTAATTACTAGCGAATCTGTACACTTGTGCCTAATCTAATACACTAATGCATAAATCTAACATATTTTTGCCATTTTTTAATCGAAGAAAATGAGTAGACAAAAATTGAAAACATAATTATCAAATATGTATTTTAAAAAATTCTCCAAGTTAAGCATCGCATCTGTTAAACTCCGGATCTTTTTCAAAAATCAATATTCGATTAAACATGTAACATTTAAACTTCCGGCTTTTCCATATTTCTCTTCATCTCATTCAACCACCTCTTGACATGGAAATACTTTTAAAATGCATGTCTATTCGCAAATGTTCTTGAAAATGCTAAAGCGTTTGTGTTCCATAAGCTGACTACAGGTATCTGTATTTGAATTCGATTTAATTCAGTAAACAAGTTCCCGTCTGACTTATATATTCAGCCCACGAAAGGCCAAGCGGTAAAGTCTCTGAACACTGATAGTTCGATCCAGGGCTCAACGGCAAACGGCTTGGTTGCATGGGCGTTTTCGTTGTTTTCCCATGTGTAATGTGCTTACGAGTCAGTTTCCCTTAGAAAGTTCTCCACGAAGGCATTCGTTCCCTTAGGTGGATAGGCTTCATGTGCTTTGCCGTAATTAATTAAGTATACCAAATTAAACTTATGTATTCAATCAACAATTAGCTATTTTTATTACGTAAAACAGATGCAATATATATTGCTTTAAATTGTTTACAATATGAAACATTTTTCTTTAAAAAAAGGGATTTCCAAAATTTTTTCCTCTTCTGGCCTAATCTGTGAAAGGCTAATTTCCATCAGTTCTATTTAGCCTTTCGTTTAAGTTACTGTTGTACTGACACGCAAAACGTGTGCGTTTCGCTTTTCATCTCCTCATTCATTATTTTATATTTCTACTGAGAGAGAACAGCTCAGATTTTACAGATTTCAAAACTGCATTTTAAAAATTTGGGTTTTCACCGAATAGTCAGGTACCGTCAAATATTTTTTTTTTTCATTTTTATCTACCTATTTGAAGAGTTTTGGCAGCTTTACATTATTGTATACTTTTAGATAAGCAGGTTCACATTCGTTTTTCTTCAGAAATTTTGAGAGTTCAAAGTAAGACTTCATTGTTAGAACTGCAGTGTTTATGTTACATAGTCTGCCGAAGTGTTACATTGTGTTGCCGAAGAATTTCTCACAATCCAGCTATTGGCCGGCTAATTTTTCTTCGAATGCACTGAATAAGTATTTTGTGATACGGTCACAGTTCTTCGATTTTTCTAACATCACACGACAGTTTTAATGCATCTTACTACTGAACTAAAAAATGTACATAATTTTCTTCCTAATAGTTTGCCATCTTTTCACCTTGACAAAGAACAGATTTTCACTAATCACTCATATGAGAGGACGATGTTTGATTTAGGAAGTTGAGTGTTATTAGGATTATCAGATAATGATGAGTCCAACTATTGTAAAACATTCTGACATCACGTTTTTAAATATTGTTACGAACTTTGCGCACAACTTTGGTGAAATTATGTGAAATTGTTCTATTTTTCTGTATAATCTAAAAAGAAAAGCTTGAGAGAAAGGATGTTCTGCCGGAAAAATAAAAATACAGGGACAAGTCTGTTTAACGTTGAGTAAATGGCTATCTCGCTAAATTAGCGAGATATCGCCAAACTGTCAATGGTTTTGGTGAGAAATAGCCAAATTTTTGGCCCAGTTTTGTCCCGTTTGGCGACTTTTTAGTCCGATCTCTGTATAACTGTTCTGGATATTGTAACTGAATAACTGCAATTGATTTCTATATTAGCTGTAATCGTATCCGGCCCTCATGTGCCTTCCACGAATTTCGAGAAGGAAATACCAGAGATTTCTTTATTGCCAGGGGGAAAGGTATGTAATATTGGAGAGAGAATCAGTTTCTCAGTTGTTATAATTCAGAAGTAAATTCATTCCGTGTTAGCTTCGCTCTTTAGATGCGCTTTGCATTGGGTCGTAATTATGATTTATAGTAGTTTGAAGTGTTACTACTGATAGTCCTCTATAATTCTGTGAAGACCTGTACGGTTATTTTTGTGGAAAATTCTAGAACTTTGACTTTTTTTAGTCCAAAGGGGCTTTGTCCCTGAAAGACTATTGTTTTCGTTTTTCGATTTTACGTTGAATCACTAAAATGTCCGTTTCAGATGTTTGCTATTAATGCTTACAATTTACAATTTCTAAAAATTAAATTACTTTACAGTTTCTAAAATCAGATAGAGAATATAATGATGGTCAAGCAAGATAGATCTTGACACATTCCAGGTGTTAAATCTGTTACAAATTAATTTTTCAGAAGTTATATTCGTTACCAAGTATAACCCGTTTATACTTCTGATAACACTAATACATTATTGCATGCATATTAATACATAGAACATAACTAAATAAAGACAAGGGAATTAGTAAACTGATTCACTGCATTGTTTATAATACCAAATAGCCTACTTTTTAGTTATTAAACCTAAGTTCTTAAACAATAATTAAAGATTTAAATATGAAAATCGAAATATAACTTTAATCGACTATAAACTAGGAAATGTATGAGTATTAAGAATGTTCACACTAAAAAAAAAAAAAAAAAAAAAAAAAAAAAAAAAACACCTTAAATTCTGATAGCATTCATCTTTTAATATTGCACCTGCATTAAATATTCTAACAGTTTTCAATACTTGTGTGACTTATTTCACTTGTATGAGAGTTACATCAAAACAAGCTCTCAAAATTCATCGTGGCAAAGAGTGCAAGACTGGGCATATCGTTGGCAAAAGCCTTGAGCACCATATAAGTGAATATATTGGACTTCGCCCAATTCCGCCCCCAATTTTGAAGGAGGACACCCGGGGGACGGATCCGAGGGTCTTCCACTCCTAGAAACAACTTCTCGAGAAAACGTTCGGTTCGCCGCATGTTTAGAGTGCCCCCATGTTTCACAGATACTATATATTTAAAAACATCTATGGCTTCTCCGGGATTCGAACCCGGACCCTTCGGTGCAGTAGGCTCTCCTAACCACTACACCGTCTGGGCTGCGCTCAGTTACTTGTTACCACTTTTATTACAGTGCTTGTTATTTTTTTAAAAATTAGGATTACAAAATAATGGAATACACAAATTTCGAAAGCTTAGGGCAGAATTTTGGTTGCCATTCATTCTTTTAACAGTTCGATTATTCATCAGCTACAGAGCCAATTCGAATCCATTAGTTACCACTTTTATTACAGTGCTTGTTATTTTTTAAAAACTAGGATTACAAAATAATGGAATACCCAGATTTCGAAAGCTTAGGGCAGAATTTTGGTTGCCATTCATTCTTTTAACAGTTAGATTATCCATCAGCTACAAAGTCAATTCGAATCCATTAGAAAGCAAAGAAAAATAAATTACTACAGCAAAATTTTAAAAGAACCAAAAAGTAAAATATAATCTATACTGTGCAGCAAATGTGATTATTTGATCACTGCATTTAGAATATTGATCGTGATATGATTTTAACGAATACATTTTTGTACTGTCAGTCAAAACGTCAAACACAATGTATCACCTGCTCGCTGTTGGTGACGGGCTAAAGAAGTTTCTATTATCCGACTATTCTTATCCGTACCGAAAGACTGCAGAGATTAACAGATAATCTAAATTTGTCTGCATTTTAACAATATTAAAAATTCAATGAACGTATCTAAAAATGTCGTTTTAATGAGTTATCTAATGATCAATCAAAATCGTTTAAAATTGTCATTCCTATGTGACTAAAGAACCTCAGATCGAGGCTACCATTTTTCTAAACCAAAAATTATTTGTGACGTTTCAAAAAAGACGACTGTCTATAAACTACAACCGCAATCTCATCTCACTGGTAACTGCTGATGGAGGGCGGGGACACCTAATATCTAACGCAGGTAAACAAGCGCTCTCCAGCGCAACAAGTAGCAGATTCCAGGCGCAACAAGAGAGCCGCCCCGGGAGTTTAAATATTTTAAGCACAAGATTTTACGTAGCTATTGTCTTTTACACAAGTTATAATTGGCTTTCATTGTACAGAGCGGCATCCTCGGAATCTCATCTCAGTGCATCAAAGCTATATCAATCTAGTTTAACACCATAGATCGACAGACTAACGTAAGCACTATTACTTGGTCTACGGAGTGGAACTAGTCATAAAAATTAACTTCAAATTCTTTCACTGTCTCCTGTCTTACAGATTGATTTCCTTTCGCAAAGAATGCTAAAAAGTTATTTTTGAAGCTAATGAAGTTTCATGAAATATTTGTACAAATACTGTGCAGTTGCCTCCGCTTCTTCTTCACATTTCACAGCTGAATTCCATTATCTTTTACCTTCTCAACTATAGTTCGACCACCTCATCCGCGACCATGAACGTAAACACGCATGCACCATTCGGACCGAATTATTCTCAAAATAGGGTAGAAGGATGGGGACTTTCTTTCCCTCCAGCATAGCTCTTTCCGGTGAAGAGAAGACCTTTCACGTCACAGCAAGTAATACCGCCCCTTTTGGGCAACTCTATGCGTTTTGGCAGAATGCCAACCAGGGTTCCGCTTGAGACGGTCGAATTATAACTAGTCTTATTTTTGATCAACTGTGGTTGCCCAGTCGATTGTCACTTAAAGAAAATTGAGTGCCCGCTGATGAAACAAGGTTCGAATCCTAGATTAGCATATATCTTTGTGACTTTTAATCTCTTTGTGGAGTGGGGGTGCTTAGATTACGCCAGTCCAAAATCTTAATCTCGAAAGTCTGATGGTGGGATAAGAGCTCGAAAATTCCCTCTTCTGCGGTCTCACGATCAGAATTGGTATGGAATTAAGTAGAGAGTATTTCAATATAAATTTCATTGCATTAAGAAAGATTAGTTTTAAAATAAGGATTTAATTTATTTGGCTACTACATTTCCAGATATGCTAAGTTTAGAAAATCTTTGTTACGGTAAGGCTTCGTGTTTTTGAACGCTTGTGACTGAAATGAATAGTTACAAGAAAGTGAATAACTTTATTGAATAACAATAACTTAATAGAAAAAATAAAAAAACAGACACGGAAAAAAAAGAAAAGAAAAGAAAAGAAAAGGGCTTTTTTTAACATTTTGTCTGTTATTTTTATTTATTAAATATCATGTTCTTCGCATTTAAACCATAAAATTCCGTTCAAGAACAAATTACAAATTTCAAATTTGGGTTTCCAGATGCCGATATTCGCAGGAGGATTGCGTCATTCAAAATTCGACGGTTATATGTACCGTTGTTTTATCACAATGCGAGAAATATACATTATGCAAATTTTTCATTATTTAATTTCTCCAAATATAATGCAGGACTCTAACATTTGGTGGCAATAGTTTGAAAAGTGAAACGGACATTTATATGAATTCAACGCAAAATGGCAAAGCGAAAACAATAGTCTTCAGGGACAAAGCCCCTGTGGACTAATAAAAACTTAATTAACTTAATTAAATTAATTGTAACCGAAGTAATTAAATAAATTTATTAATTAGTAATAATACTAACTAACTTAATTAAATTGAATAACTCTGCTAACAGCAAAAAGTTGTTTTAAAGAAAGTTCGAAAAACAAAGTTGCTTCATTTATAAGTGATCTAATTAATCTGTTTTCAATGATAATGCAGCCTTCTGAAAGCAATTATTTTCACTAAAATTTAACCCTAATCTGATAATTTATTGCTGTATAAAAGAAATTATGTATATCATAAATAATGTAAATTTTTTGGGGGTTTCATTGAAAAAGAAGCGAAACTGAGTAATGAAGGCCACGTAATGCTGAGAATGGCCAAATGCAGAGAACATTCCTTGGCATTGAAATTAAATATAACACCGTTTTCTTCTTTGTCTTAAGTCTGACGATATAACACTTAATTCAGATTACCCTACCGTTTAAATTTTTTTATATTTTCTATCGCGGTTGTAAGAATGCTGATAATGTCGAGGTCACTCAACACTAAAAAAAATTATATTCATTTTTGAACCTTGAAATGCAAGCTCACAAAATATTATGTCTTTTTTTTTTTTTTTTTTTTTTTTTTTTTTTTTTTTTTAAAAAAAAGGCTCAGAATAGAGTATATATTTAGGAATCGATACATCATCTCTACAGTCTATTTCTGATTGCTAACTTTACGCTTCTCTATTTGAAGTCGACAGCATGAAGGTACGTTGAGTTTTTTTATAGCTGTTTTTGTAAAGTTATGTATTATAACGTTTAATTTGGAATTATTGTTATATTTAATATGTAATACACATAAGGAATTTTTTATACTTTTATTTAAAAATTAAATTTATGTGTATGGGCATTTAGTACATTTAATATTATGTTAGGGAATTTAATTTCAAAATTTTACTTTACTTTTGTATTGCATTAAGTACACATATACTAACAAGTGCATCAAAATTGAGACATTTATTCATTCTAATTACATAAAGCTGAATTATTGCTAAACTTAAGCTGAATAACTGGCTAAATGTTTTCGATTTTATTGAGAATAATTTTCTAAGGTACCAATTACTGAAGTAATTTATGTAAAACAACAACCTTTTTCTGAACACCACAGTAAAGCACCGAGCATATACTTAACATTTAAATAGTTCTAAGCATATATGGAGAATAGTTACGATATCCTCTGATTCGGCATTTTATTTTAAACAAAACGCAGAATACTAAATTTGATTAACATTAAAAGCTTTCAAATACATCAAAATAATCCGAAGACCGTGATCTATGTAAAAGACTGTGAATTTAAAATTAGCGTATAATAATTGGAAAAGTACTCCTTTTATTTAATTTGTTCACAAGTGTAATTAAAAAGACTCTGAGAAGCCAATAAGATTGTTTTGTAGTGCTGCATCATGAGAATAAAAAGAAGAGAGACAGAGAAGAAAAGAAAAGGAAAAAAAGAGAAAAAAAACATAGAAAATGAAACATGTTTTTAAAAATCTCGGTTTTTACGGAAGCATAATATATTTTGATTGGCAGTAAAAGTGGAAGTTGAAGTAAAAGTGGAGTCATCAAAGAATGTGATTTTTTTAAACCATGTCATACAGCTGAACTAGTTCTACAGTTTTCTATCCGAATAGAACTTATGTGATAACTGCTAATACATTATAACAAAGATAAATGCTTTAACGTCCTGTTAACGGATATAAAGCAAAATCCAAATTATCAAGGGATGCATAGGTTCAGATTTCATTAATTTTATAAGAATTAACAAATTGTAATATTTGAAATTTATTTGAAATTTATGTGACATATATCATTAATTTAATTAAATTTATGACTATAAAATAACCCGAGTATTCAGAAAGGGAAAAAACTGAAACGGTGTATATTTCACAAAGGTAAAATTTATTTAGAGGTACGAAGACATACCTTAAATGAATAAACATGCTTCTTTAATAAGGCACTGGATGTTTGTTTACTTTCTAAAGAGGCTCAGAAATCAATTAATTAAAATAGCTTTCTTTAAGTACACAATTTAGGTAAAAGAAGTATCTAGTAGAAAAGCATAAAAAGGGGTATGTCACGCGCTGAAATGTTTATCTCATTACAATGAATATTTTGATGACTTTTTTTCCCAAAGCACAAAAGATTATCGAATTAATTTACATCAGTCTGTGATGTTTTCCTAAATAGTAATAACGAAACCTTTAGTTCAGATTACAGCCAATAAGGCTAAGTTTAGGAAAGGAAACTGTATTTCGTAATTCAATTTCCGTATTTCGTATTAAATTCGTACAACAGTTAACTTAATAATAATTGTTTTAAAATTATTATTTTTATTATCTCATTTTAGATATTCCTTGTTCTAACGATTACTCTGGCTGTTGCCTGTGCCCAAGTTCTTGTAAGTATGATATCATTATCACATTTTAATGCATATAATTTACAGAAATATGATACATTCAAACCTGGGCCCTGTTTTGCCACGCTTGTTTTATAAATGATGACATAATACTAAATTATTGTGGAATGTTGTATTATTAAGCTTTTTTTATCGCAGAAACAAAAACAGTACCACCTTAGCATAATTTATTTAACAGAATTGTTTTAAGTTATGATATTAAAAAAAATTGTAAAATAGTTCACGAAGTTTTGTCTAAAATGGAATTACATATTTTCAAAGATTTACGTTATTTAAATCCAGAACATTTCTCATTCACTTAGTAGTGAATTGACGCATATCAGTTAACCCTAAAAATAATATCCACTCTACCAATTCTTCTGAAAAAGAGGAAAATGTTTTGCATTTATAGTGTGAGAAAGAGAGTTGTAAAATATAACGTATGGACTTGAATTTGAAGATCACGAAATTTATAATCACAGTGGTACCTTAATATACCATTAAAATATATATAAGCTATTTTCCTCTCCTTTCCTCATACATTAGCGATGTAGCTAGAAGCACGTCTGACAAGTTATCGGGAGCTCTAGAGTTCTAATCCCAACAACAGCACTGCAGATTTCGTTTAGTTTTCTAAAATTGAAAAATTTCTAAAGGACTCAAGTAGCGCCGTAGTAAAATTCAGCATGCCTTCATTATGTAACTGGAAGCACGTCCGATGCGTAATCGGGAGTTCTGGAATTTGAATCACGGCGATGGAATTGCACATTTTTCATGGATTATGCATACCTAACCTAATGACTTTATAAATGATTCATCAATATTGCAAAACTTAATATACCTGCAGTATTAGTAAATAGAAAAAGAACGAACTATTTAAACATTGCTTTTCCTTTTATAAATTAGTTACTGCTATGCATTTTAATTGCATCTTCTTGCGTATAGATGAAAAAACGATCATTGTTCCCGATATATAAAACATGTTACAAAGCCGATAATTATCGTTCAAGTACGTGAACTGCATCATATTCACGATCAGGCTATAATCTCTAGAAAAATAGCCGGGGGTCAAAGACTGAAAGGATGTCATCATTGCCATTTTACGAGTTGTATCTTTAGTTTTATGATATTTCGCAAAATGATTTTAGATACTCTCACTTGCTTGAGCTTCATCGAATAAAAATCCTCATTTAAAAACGGCTGTTGTTTATTATTTTGAACGATTTAATTTTTCTTTAACCAGTTTCATTTCGTGTTTACGTTCCTTTACTCAAATGGCTCCGAAATCGAAAGAGCAGTTTCCCTTTGAAATAACTATAATAAATTCAAATAATCTCAGTTTATGCAAACCAAATTGTAAACACATAATAATAAAGTATCCATACGTAAACATCTAATAATAATCCAATCACACCGTTAAGTTTTAAAATAAGTATTAGAACAGCTACTAGTCAGCTACATTCTAGCGTCCGAATTCTATTAACCACAAATCTAAAGTGTGTTGCCAACGCAGGGCAATGAAAAAGTGTAAATTAATCCAGGAAGCATGGAAGTAAACATTACGGTTAACCTTTCCTACAAAGTTACATAAGCTGAAAGAAATCGCAAAAATATAAATAAATCAGAAAGCATATATAGCGTGGAAGATAAAATGTCAATTATACAATTACTGCCGTCTGAGTATTAGTGATGTTTTCTTTTCTGATAAAACGGATACTTTTTTACTACACTTGAAAAACCAAATTAAGGACTGAAGTTTTATAGGCTCCAGAGTTTAGCTGTCTCATCCAGATAAGTTTTAATTGATGAATGTATTGTGTTACTTAGATAAGATAAATTAGCAGCAAGTTTTAGAATCACGATTAGTCTTGCAGACTCCGTATGTTATTTTGAGCATTTTATTTCAATTAGTAGTTACGTGACAATTAGCTTAATTTGGGTGTAAGATTACTGTCTGCCATATTTACATTTTCCTATGGAGTATTAATATAATTGTTAATAGCGATGGCGTAGATATAAGTTATAATTGGTAGTAAAGAGTGAATAAAGGTGTCAGTGTTTTTCCGCGGGGTCATTGAGTGTTGCTTTTCCTCTGTAACTTGTGAGTGTAATACATTTCAAGATGCAGCACTTCTCCTTCTTCAGTATTGAGCAGATCTTCAAGAAGGAATTCGTTGTATATATATGCCTCATGCATTTTTGGCGATGCAATGCTTCTGAGGCGTTACCTTGGTGATTACTTGTCTGGAATGTAGTTGTATGAATAACTTGTAAAAGGGAAACTAATGACTTTGCATACTTTATGTGTGCAAAACTTTTGAGGAAATGATAAAGGGAATAAAAAACTTTTGGATGCATTGGAGCATTTCAGCAGATGAAGAATTCATCAACAAGGATGACATAAATCTGGGCCTGCGGTTGCTATCCTTTTGATTATTTTGATGATGCTTCTTCAGTGCTCGTTTTTATGAGGAGAGCTTTATATGTAGAAGTAATTTGTGGTAGGTGACGAATGAGAAGTCTTTTGTTATTGGGCGTTTGAACAAATAATAAGAAGCGCGTCCTAGTTCATCACAAACGCAGGACATTTCTTGATGAAATGGTTGTAGAGTAAAAGCATATGTGAAATGGTACATGGTCTGACAGACTACAGTTTATTTGTGAAGGAGCTGATAGATACTGATCTGCTGGTTTTGTGTGATATCCTATTCGTGCTTCGATGCTACTATTGCTTTTCTTACTGATTGGTAGCAAAATAACTTCTTTGCCATTATATATTATGCCATTATTTAGTTTTGCAATGCCTTGTGCAGCATGTTTTACAAGTTTACCTGCTTGTTCCTATAATTTGTAACTTTAATATCTTTTAGTCCAAGAGATAATAATGTTCTAATGTTTGCATCTTCTTAGAATTTGCTGTATTCTGTTCACTATCGAGCAATTTTGCTGTGTGATTGTTTCCTCATGGTATGTAATGCTGACTGGCAGTCGGACTGAACATACAAATTTTTATGCTGGTTTTTATCGCCTGCTCTATTATCTTCTCCGTCTCTGTTAACTCTGTATAAAGTTTTGCTAAGTGTCTTTTCCATATTTTAATAACCTTACTGCGCTTTTCGATTATTGAATGAATTTTTATTGTGCTCATCTGTATCATCTTCGATTTCAAAACATCTGGGAAAGCTAAATTTTATGACATTAGTGTTATAAACATCTTATTGATAGTGACACGATGTGGGTTTTTGTCTGGATCTGTGTAACAGCCCATACTACATGAGACTGTGGTCTCACAAGTGGCTGGATTGAAATTGTTACCGAGTCTCATTGCTGGGACATACTTGAGGTACAACTCCAGCTTTGGCTTTCATATGTAATGGCGTTATTGCTGATAAAAAGTTTTTTTCAATGCGAAGGTAGCAGGAAGTAGTCTTAAACAATATTCATACATTGAGAGAACATAGTCGTTGCTAAGGAGGAACTTTGTTGAGACTTAAGAATTTTTAAGAATTTTTATTAGGATTGCACTTGAGGCTTATGAATCATAATAGTTATTAACATAACAGTGCTTCACTTGATTTAAAAGCAACTGAAAGGATTATCCTCGTTACCAAGATCGGTTTCGTTATACTCATACTGTAAAATGTGTTCACGATACTTAGCCAAAAGCTTTCAACTGACAGGTTATTTAGCGGACATGTCTATTTAGAGGATATTTAGTGGGGGTGTACTCCAACTACGCGAATCAAAATTTCTTCCCCTCCCCCGTCTGAGTGTAGTCTAACTGCGCGAATCAAAATTTCTTTCCCCCGTTTCCTGCCGAGGAACTACAGGGTTACAGTTTTATTTTTCGAACACAACTGTAGCCAAGAGGATAATAAAAATAAAGAAATAGAATTACATATCACAAGAACAAGTAAAGAATATGTAACAGTCTCCAGCACAGCTCATATAACCAACAAACAATGGTTGTTGATAAAAATACGTAATTTAGATGAAAATACATAATAGTGTTTTAGCAAAATGTCTCCACAAAATGCCGTTTTCTCTCAGCTAATTTAATGTGTCGGCTGTGTCTCCGATCACTGCCGAACAGCAGCTCGATCCGAGTTCGAATCTCGATAAACAGCTGGATGGATAAGATTAACGTATTTTTTCTATGTATAACATATAGGAACCAGCTTCCCTTCGATATACTTGCCTGGAGGCATCCCTTACCTTAAAAAAGTAGTCTATAATCTATTACTTTCATTAATTAACAAAACAACACTGCTGCCGAATAGCTAAGGAAAAGTCATTAAAGTTTACCTTTAGCAACGAAAATAAATATTTGCGTCCAGTACCTCGAAACACTTAAGCATCCAGTTTGCACTACACCCATAATATGTTATCCGTTGTTACTACTACCAGATTTTACTGCTGGTATTACTGTTGTTCCTACTACCAGATCAATGTGTATATAATAAAGTATACAAAATCATTTACACCAAGATGAGTATAGTAACAAGAAAACATGTATTTTTGAAACGCCTACTTTCATAAAATATGGATACAGTTTTCAAAATTCATGTAGGCCACTTATTTAAAGTGATTTTTATAAGTACATTGCAGTGAGGGCATGTTGGTTAAACTTCTTATGAAAACTCTTATTATTTTCAAACATTTATAAGAGTAAAAAACAGTTGTATTATAAACAGTTGTATTATATATTGTTTTGTAAACAGTTGTATTATATGCTGCAATAAAATACTTTACAATACAAATAATACAAACCTTTTAGTTATTTTACAATTTCACTGACTGTTAACGATAAACGCAACGGGTCATTTCGTATTTTTTCTGTTTTTTAAATTAAAACTTATTTCTTATTATTCTCTATATTCTTTAATGATTGTTGTTTGGAATTTTCGAATTAAAATTACAAGATTAATAAAAAGTGGTGCAAATGAAATTTTTTACGTGCATATAGGGAGATAGACGGAAAGGTCAAAAACAAGTTGCCATGATTATATAAATACGCTATATAGCTTTTTTTAGATAGCAATGCATGTACTTCCAGAAGGTGAATGTTAAATATCATAAAGCTAATATTAATTAGCATTTGGAGAGACAATGATATTTTAGCACTCTAATGACTCTTCGGTTCTCAAAAATAGTCAGCAGATCAAATTTCAGTCTTGAGAAAGCATATGTTACAGACACAAATACTTTCAAGGTTTCATAATCATATTTTTTATATAAACTGGTTAAGCTTGTGAGTTGATTCATTACATCTTTTGAGAAATAGAGTACAATATTTATATACGAATATATATATATATATATACACGAATATGATGAAAATCTCCGGTATTCACAACAACAACAACTTATACACGGATCATCTGCAAACAACCGAATCAGATATGATTGACACTTATGATGACTATTAAAAAAACCCATTAAACTTTTGAACAGCATTGAAATAGCGAAATAAAATTCAATCTATATGAAAGTGATGCTGAAAGATTTCTGGAGATTTATCAAGGATAGATAGACTGAATTATCGTATCGCTAATATCGATAAGTGGCCATCGATAAGTGAAAACGGAGACTAACCTGTTGAAGCTCACAGAACTTGGGGTTTCGTAAATTGCTTTGGATCACATATGTCCAACTGTTTGCATCTACATTTTTAAGACAGTCTACTGACTTTATGATTCCTTTTGCATTAATGGAAAAATAACACTTTACGAAAGATTGATTAAAATATGTTTTGTTAGATTAATATGTACAAAGATCCATTCCTGTGCTAATTTAGCTGAAGAATTTTTATTTTTTTTCCTAGCCGTTGGAGGAGAGCCCTAAACCTTATGCTTTCAGCTATGTAGCAGAGGCTGAAGATGGCAGCAGCAGCCGTTCGGAAACTGCAGATGGAACTGGTATAGTCCGGGGCTCCTACGCCCTCAGTGACATTGACGGTCGCAATCGTGTTGTGGAATATGTCGCCGGTCCTGATGGCTTCACTGCAAAAATTCGAACCAACGAACCTGGAACCGAAAATGCTGCCCCAGCTAACGTCGAGATAGAATCCAGTGCAGAAAATACGAATCTCTTACTGAACACTCCATTGAAGCCAGCAGCCAGGAGTGCAAACAGTGCTGAAACTCCTCGAAGAGCTGGTGTGCGATATGTTCTCGTTCCTGAAACCGAAATCCGTAGTCGCACCTATTAGGATAAACAGAAAATCGTCTTAGTGTTTTAAATTATAGTCTCTAAGAAAAAATTACTGAAGTATATTATTAGTACTAAAAAGCAACTGTCAGCTTAATTTTGAGGCTAGCACAAAACCTTTTTGGTGGTGGTAGTGGAAAAAAATTCATTCAAATCCTATTTTAAAACTTCTTCAAACACAAAACATTCTTCTCGGTGGTAGTGAGAAAAACTCATCAAGATCGTCCCTTTAAAACTTATCGAATGAATGAAAGATTTATAAAGTAGCTAATCTTAATTTATCTATACAGAAGCTTTCAGCTTATGCCGAGACCTTGCACGCCAGCTGCCAATTTCTTTACATCAAACAGCTTTCTTTTTACAAAATTCATAAATTTGTATTGCTTTCTGTAAATAAATATTTTATACCAAAAATACGCAGTAGTGTATTTAATTCAATACTTTACTACCCTTAAAATGATAATTTTTTATTTGTGAATATACCTCAAAATTTAATTGAAAATCTTGGTACATGTTCACACTTGCATATTATTGTTTTCTTTTAATCAGTTACAGATACAGAATCACTGCAGTAACATGGTAAGTAATTGCTAAAAATTAACGAAGAGTTATTTTTGTTAGCAGTTTTATACTAATTACGTTTCCTTGCAATAGATATGACAAGATATCTTTTAAACAGCAACATACAAATTTAGAGAAAGTAATGAGTAATATTTTTTGTTAGCAATCATAACGAAATAATTGTTGCTATTTATTAAATTTTTTGAACATTTTGATGCAGAACATTCTAGGAGGTGAAGGCTGGTAATGGAATTTCAAAATAGACAACAAATAATATCCAATCTGCTTTTTACTAATTTACTATTTTCAGGGAAAACTGCTGTGTGAATTAGGAATTATGTATCTGTATTTTTCACCTCGCACCTGTGACTCATATTTCCGTAACATTTTCAGATTTACCCTAAACAAAATTCTCTCTTATTTAAATATAGCACTGAATAGGATATTAGTCTCAACACGCCATTTTGCATTGAATCACTATAAACGGCGTATCACTTTTCAAATTGTCGCCACCAAATATTATTGCCCTGTATTATCTTCAAAGAAATTAAATAAGGAAGAATAATCATGAATGCATGCATGTTTCTCGCATTGTGAAAAACTAACGTTATCCAAAGCCATCAAATTTTGAATAACGTAGTCCTACACCCAAGCATGGGCGGAATTTTGAATTTTTTTAATATCTATTTCATATTTTGTACAACTTTAACGAATTTTTTATTAACAAACTCAATGATTTCAAAGCAAGCAGTGGGAACACTGTACAGAAAAATCTTTTTTATCTCCAGCGCGCGAGACTGTCTAAAACGTTTTATGAAGCCACCTCAGTAAGAAAACTGAATATTAACAACACGAGCTGAGGAAAGCTGAAAAAAAGTAGAACTATGTAAACCAACACTTAACGCTGCATCGCGAACTCTAAACATATACTGCTACGCAGTTTTTAAAATTTTTGTTATTTTGCTGTCGGATTGTGTATGGCGTAACTGTAAAGGAAATGATGCTTAATAATAAAGCTAAAAAGACAAAGAATGGGTTAATAGGTGTGAGTGTAGACTGCGAGCTCAGCGACAGCGTAAAAAACCTTAACAAACTCTTTTGCGTGACAGTTAATATCTGAAAAACTTTAAGATGTTTTCTTAAATTTAATAAACTTAACTGTTATCGCATCGCCTGCTCTTGTAGCTGAAACGCTACTCAGATTTTCATATATATCTTAATCACTTTAAAAAATGACACCTGATGTTTTAACCAATTATCATTTTGACAGAATTCTTGTAATTGTTATGAAAACGGCATAGATACCATCCTAGTCAAGAACGAAAGATTGTTTTAATATTAACGACACATTACACATGTAATTTATTTTACAGCTCATTCAAATAACCATTTATAAATCGACAAATTATATGCAACTGAATTTTCTTAATATCCATTTTAGAGTTTAGAACAAATTCAGATGACATGATAATACCGAACATAAAACATCCTGTGTTGAAACAGACATTTCTAGAAACCAATGTATTAAATAACACAATAATGCCTTATGTGGTAATATTTCATATTTTTAATTTGTAGCTGAATTAAGAGCATCCCTTATTTAACTCTATATTATACGCATTGTACAGCATAAAACGATGCGATTTCTACAAGCCAATCTTTGCTGAAATGCAATCCAGGGGTAATCATACAAATGAAGCATTTATGTGATTACCCCTGAATTGCATATCAGCAAAGATTGGCTTTTAGAATTAAAAATCTTTACAATTATCAGGTCTACGAAATATAAGTATAAATCAGTATTTTTAAAAACAAACAGATTTTGGTTTTTGATGTCATATTTAAAACCGTGAGGGTACCAGTTAATAATTTTTAAAAGGACAAAGTTTTAATTTTAAGAGTAAAGATAACCGTTTTGTTATTTTTTATTTCTCATTGAGAATAGCATATTTATTCCCATCATGCCAATCTAGAATTGCTAATCAGTTTCTGAATGTATAGGCATTTGTGCGTGGAATTTCATTACATTACGTTGCCTGTAATTATTTTGCACAAGTTTATTCAATAGAAGAAGAGATACATGTGGCTATCAGATTCTGTTGATGAAACTCGGAAGTATAACTGAAAAATTAATGAAAAGCTAAGAATATAGGACAATGAATTTGAAAAGGATAATTAGTTGTATACCTTTTAAGAAACACTGACAGTTTATTTCAACGAAATGACTTTCGCTATTTTACAGTCTTGCAGATGGCATTTGTAAATGGCATTCTTCCTTTCAGTTTATACGATGCTCACGAATCAGACATCACGTCTCGTGAGAAGCAAATATTTATGGCACTAAAAAACTTGTCACTTTAATAAAATACTACTTCATGTATGTTTTCCTATAAATCTCTACCGTCAAACAATAAAAAACTTTTTAAGCGTAAAAATCGTTATCTAAGGAGTTCTTTTAACAACTGGATTTGCGGCTGGATGAAAGGACATTTCAACAACAGTTTTATTTTTTCTATTTTCTTCAAAAAGACAGCAATTCTTTTTTTTCCAATTGTGTTCAACTTAATTCATTAACAATATGCACATTTCTTTGTTTGTAATTACTATATATATAATATATATGTATATTTAAAAGACTTTTAATTACAATATTTTAATTAAATTCACTTAAAAGTAAAAAATAGTTTTAGCTGTCATAATATACTTACACACTTGTGCTTAAAATTTAAATTGTATTTCTTCTGGGAATGGCCGATTTTAAATCAAAATTGTCAAACAGAAGTCCAAGCGAAATGATTATAAGCAATATTATACTGTGATTTCTATACAATCACTATTATTGTTCCTTAAAATCCTGCCGATATCCCAATACATTTTACACGTGGTCATCTTCCCCATGTGTAGGACGAAAAACACAAAAAATACAAATTTTTGTGTTTACAAATTATTACAAATATGTGACAAAAAGCACGTCAGCTCTATATCCATTGTTCTCATGTATCGGGCGATATTCGATTTCTGTTCACCTAATTTCATATTTAGTCGTCAGTTGAAATAAGTCATTTAATTTAAGTTAAAAAAACACTCCGAACAACGATTATTGGTGAAGTTAAACAACAAGAACCAGGATAATGTATGTAAATTTTGCAGGACTAGTTTCGATGGTTTAAATGCAGAACCAGCTTCTTCAGCTGCCTAAGTGCAAATGAACGAGATAGAATATGTGATGAGATTGGTAAGATATTCTAAATATTCTATCTCGTTTCTTATCGCCCATATTCACCACCAGCATATCACTCGTACCATATTACATCTCGTTCATTTGCACTTAGGCAGCTAAAAACGATGGCTCCGTATTTAAACCATCGAGAGTAATTATGCAAAATTTACTAACATTACGCCGATTCTTGTTAAATTTCTTCAATAAAGTCATTTAATGTTTGGAGTCCCTAATTCTACAAAGTCCATCTATTGCTCATTTCCATTTAATAACTTACAAAGTTAGACTTTTCTCTGTATAAATTTGATTTTTTCAAAACTTTGCAACAACCTTTCTTTAATTTACCACTTTGGGCGACAATTATAACACATGTTGTGGGTTCCAAACGTAGCTTTGCCAATTATCATAAAACAACGGAGTTAAGTTTGATCTGTATGCTGAATTATCACTCCTAAAATATCTAATAATCAAACAAACAGACACAGAATTAAAGCATTTTAGGTTTATTCTAGCTCACCACTTATGAGTGATTAAATTGAAATATAGAAACAGAAATTGACCAGCTAACTAGACCTGATTTAAAATTTCAGCCATCCTTTCACAAAGGATATAAATGAAACAAATTAAATCTAATTTTACTACAGGCAAAAGGTTGCTTGGATGCGACCGAATTTCCAACACTCACTTACCAAAACAGGAGCTAGCTTCAGTCTTAAAATATTTACAGCAAGACTAGGTTACCAATATACTGTTTTCTTTAATGGGCAGCTCAGCGGAACGCAGGCCAAACACACACTTATTCGTAAATCGTTAATCTTTATAGTAAACCTGCTTAGCAAATCAAGTCTACTTAAATTCCGGAATGAGTGAACTTCGTGGTGAAAACAGGCAGAAAGGAAAAAGGTAAATTAAAATAACATTTTGCTGGTAAATTTTAACCCTAAATGTTACAAGCTTGTGTTATTTTTTTATAAATTATTAATTAATTCATATTTGCGAGTTAAATAAATTGCGGTATTTTAAATAGCGTAGTTTCCCTTTGTATGCTTATTTACTGCCCTGTCTGTCCTCTAATCCATAATTAAGAAACTACTTAATCATTTGTTAAAATGAAAGGAGGAAGAAGTAAAAAACTTTAGATTGTTTGAGATTTCCTGTAAAATTCAAAATACAGGGTGGTCATAAAACAACCTTTCCCAATATGAAACTCTAGCGGGATATCCGCTTAACCAATCAAAGTGAAAATTTAGATATTATTATTTTTTGAAGGTATGCGCTAAAGATTCTGAGGATTTAAAACAATAGAGCTGAAACGGTTACGATTACAGTGAAAGAATTTCGAAATTTTCGTATAGCAATTTCGTATTTACCTTTTTCCTGGTCATTTTGATCAGTGCATTAAAAAACCATGAATGGCGTTCGAACAATACATGACGAAAACTGCAGGCGTAAAATATTTGCAAAGAAGAGGACCAATGGCAACACAAGAGAGGAGATGGAAAGAAAATTTTGTTCGAATTAGGAATTTTAGGTTTGCCTGCTTTTAGAAGACGTTAACCTGTTGCATGCAAGAGATTATTGACAAGAACGACGAACGCAGAAGGAATTTGTATAACATCATGTTTCGTTGCAC